AGAGACGGGGTTTCACCATGTTGACCAGGATGGTCTCGATCTCTTGAGCTCGTGATCCACCCGCCTCGGCCTCCCAAAGTGCTGGGATTACAGGCTTGAGCCACCGCGCCCGGCCAGGATTTTCTTATGAAAACAAACAATCTTTTTCCTCTTCCTTCTAGAAGGAGTTTGCTCTCAATAAGCAATGGAATAGTAGAGCTGCTAACATGTTCATTTACAACTATTCTCATAGCTAAGGACCATGGATTCTCTAGCAAAGTCTCCTTTTCTATCAGAAGTAAAAGTGATGTTTTTTGCTCTTGTGTCCTCAATCATACTGGCTAAAGGAAGCAAAGAGAAAGATCCTGAGAAATATCAGCTGCTCTATCCCTTGTGTGTCCTCTGTGCCAGCAGTATACATGAGAAGGAGTGCTGGATTTCAGAGTTACTGGACTGAGAGTAGCAGTATCCTACCTTTGATTTGCTGTACAGACTTAGACCAGTCAGTTAACTTCTCTGGGAAGCTCTGTCTACAGATTGAGAGAGTTGGTCTAAATCAGTGTTATCAAACTGCTTTCTGAATGGACCTGTCATAGGTGCCTAAGAAGGGTGTCAAGGTGAGCGGGCAAGACCCCAGGTCTTCCTCCCCATTTCAACCAGAGGAGCTCTGGAGAACCCTTATTTTGAAGAAATGTGTCTACAAATAAACAGCTTGAAACTACCAGACTAGAGAGTTTTGTAGTTCCTCTTTAGTTTGAAAATTACTTATTTTGAATTCTCTGATTCTAATAGCATCCTGTTTATGCTAGTTATAAAAACATGCATTGGAAGGAATAAGTTGTAATAAACTTGACTCATCCTAATATTTTTAAATAGCATCCTAGTATTTCTAAAGAATAAACCAAAATTACGAAAGCTTAATATTTGCAGCATAACTACCAGTAGAACCGAAACTCACGAGAGACCACAGTCTTTGGTGATACTTTCATTGTCAGGCCTTGGATGAGAAAGAACATCTATATCCTAAGTGTTGGGGAGTGGTTGCAGGGAGACCCAAGTTTGACCTGAAAAGTTGCCTGACACAGATGCTCCAACAGTGTTCATGTAGTAAATGAATGGCCTATTCTGAGCTTAGATGTTCCTAATTATGCCAGTGTTAATAAGTTACAAATAGAGAATGAACTATTTCAGGAGCTGAGCAGAGAAATCCCAGATGTGGTAGCTTTTGCCTGTAATCCTAGTGCTTTGGGAGGCCGAGGTGGGAGGATTGCTTGAGGCCAGGAGTTCAAGTAACTAAGCAGAGAGAATAGGGATATTTCTAACCCTAAATGTAGCATTCGTCCTGGAGACAAAGTTCTTAACTCTAAAAATTAGATAACAAATTGAGAGTATCGATAGCCTCGTGTCATGCCTGCTGTTTTTGTTTTGTTTAGAAGGTCCATTGCATTCAGAAGCAATGAACTTCTCAGGAAGCTCAGAGCTGCTGGTGTTGGGGATAGGCCGGTGGTTTGGATATCACATAGCATGGGAGGTAAGTGCAGCTTCAACTTTGTGAAGTGACTGTTGTGATGTGATTTTCAGCCACTGTGGCCAACCTAAAGTTACTGTATCTTTCCGTTTTACTTAATAGTGACCCCCTTGCCCTCCGCTAAATTAATCCGTGTGGCTATGACTAGTAGTTTTTGAATTACTACTCTTGTTCTGTGCCATCCCTTTCTCTAGAAAGGGGCAACCTGTTACAGACCAGCGTAGTGCTTTCGCATAGTGATAATGAATAAACGTTGAGAAGCAGCCCGTTTCATATACACCACCTCATAAACATGCCTCAGCATTCCTGGGTGGCCCCAACGGTGCCCCTTTATTCTTTCCTGCTCCCCTTCACCATTGCAGAGTCTGTGGTCACTTTAGTGCCCATAGACCCAGACCTTGGGTACCTGTTCACACCAGGCCCAGAGCTGCTGAGGTGCAGGTGTAATTGAGTGTCTGTTCTTGGGGTCCTAGTGGTTGCTTATGGAACTGCCTCCCCTGTGACTCCCTGAGTCCAGTCTGAAATTTTCACCACCCACCTTGCAGAAGGCCTTTCTGCAGTATAGTATTGGGCCTAGTTTATCTGGTGAAGCATTTAGGATTGCCTCTGAGGCAGGGATTTTTGCTGAGACAAAGGTGGGTGTAGCCCTTTGTGTCCTCAAAGACCCACTGTCATCATCTTTGAGATCTTTGTGTTTCATTATTGGTTCCAAACCCAGGGTAGGGGGATGGAAGAGAAGGCATCTCCCGAGAAACAGTTCCCATGAAACATTTCCCTGTGTTCTCCATGGGGGACTGTGTGCTGTGGGATCACAGCACCGTCCTAACAGTGTGGTCATTAGCGGGCCGTCATGGCAGGCTGAGAGACTAGCCACAGCACACGCATGTCCTCAGGGAGCTCCCAGTGCTGTGTGCCTCACGTTCCTGC